CAACTATCCTTATATAAAATTAAGAACAATTCTTCAACAACTGAATACAACTATTATATGTAATGTTCAATCATGCACTCCTTACGTTGGAGGGATTCAATCCTTAAACCCTCAAAAGAAGCTTGCCTTACTAATTCCTAGCTTACCATTTAGACCCTGCAGGTTTTATTGGCTATGCAGTCAACATGATTAACCTAGATAATCCCAGTTACATAACTGATTCTGGTCATTCCATGTTTTATTGCCTTACAAATTTTGTATACGATTCATAATTTTGTATACGATTTATAATTTTGTATGTGAATATAATTATGTATGAGATGAGAAAAGTTAGCAATAGATTGTTGTACATGTTTCTTATACACAGTATGAGTCATGTTGATACTTACGATTATGGAGATCGTTGTCATCATGTGCGGGACTGAATGGTCATTTCATTATGTCTGCAAAAAAATCAGTTAATGTAGGCTGTGTGCTTGTATTCAAATTGAGTTTGACTTGAGGATATGTTAGTTTGTTATGTCCCTCACCGTTGCAGAACCCACATCACCTAATTTTCTTCTCGACCTTGTTCTTTGATACTTTTTTTTTGTTTGCGTTGTTTTCGTTGAGGGTCGCGAACGTTGTTTACTACACTACTCCAGTTGACTGAATCATTCAAACCAAACGAGTTTTCAAATTCTTTTGTTAGTCTTTTCATCTCATATCTTGCGGTTTTGAAAGACGCGTCTGTCTTTGATGCAATGTAGCATAACCTACTTGACGTTGCACGTAGAGCAGCGAACCTTGTCATTTGCATTACTTCTGGAGGCACATTCAAGTCAACAAAACTGGGTGTAGAAGCCTTCACATCCTTAGTCCACCTACTTTGAATCAAAGACCTGGGCAAATATGTGTAATCCAAGTGCTTCAAAATGTGAAGTTGATGGCAACATGGAAGTCCGACGATCTCGAATTTTCTATATAGGAGTAATTTAGGATTTTCGTTCGAGAATCAAAACTAATTTCAAATGTCCTATTTTTTTCTTTGTACTTTGTCAAAATATAATTTTGACATTCATCTGATAAGGACTGAATCTCTTCCTGAATCTGGTACAATATCTCCCGTTGAAGTTCTTTTTGGAACGCACGAAAATATTTGCGCGTATAAATCTCAGCAGCATTTGCTTTCAAGGTCAACCAATTTTGTGATCTAGAAGGGCTTCGTCTAGGAACTTAAGTAATCCGCTTTTAACTCGTTCATACACATTTTACTAATTCCATCTTCAATTGCATGAACAACATCTAAATATGTCTTCTTGTGTTTCAGTGCACTCGCGAGTGAAGCATTCATAGACTCGCACCTTTGTGTTGAGTGAATATTGACAAAGAAATGAGCAGTTAGATATGATTGTGCCCATAAGTGCTGAGTATTTCCCTTCTCAATCACCCATGGATGCTTTTCGACATTGAATTCTGAAACAACTAAACGTCATTGAATATCAAATTCGTCGGTTATCCACAAGGAAGCCATGCATTTTGAGAATGCTGCTGTAAATTTTGGGTCACCCATGTTAGCTTGTGTATTGCGAGAAAGATGCCAAGAACATAATCTGTGCTTAGCATAAGAGATAACATATTTGATAGCCCTCTGCATTGCCCACCTGAAATAGGAGATATATTCATCATGGCTTCTAAAAAATTCTATAGCACCCACTCGAAAGATTGGGACGTCTCAACAACAATTATTGCAGTAGCAAACACAATTGTGTTATGGTGATAATTGACATCGACAATAGGCATAATTAGTCGACCATACAAATTATCTTTGTACGTTGTGTCGAACGCAATTACATCACCGAAGCATGTGTAATCTGATCTTGATGTAGAATCCGACCAAATAAGATTATGCAATGCCCCTGATACGTCTATCGAGTATGTCATAAAAAACCCAGGATCATCATGTTTCTTATAATCAAAGTAAGAAATAAGCGCATTCACATCCTCATCGACGATTTCCTTTGCTTTACCTCTTTGAAGTGCATTGTAGAGGTCTTTATGTGTAAATACAACATTATGATAGCCCCCTGCTTGTTGCGTTAAATAGTTCATTACTTGTGACATGCCAACACCGACCTCTTTCAATGTTGTTGCCTCATCGATATCAACCTTACTTACAGCTCTATTAGAACGCATAAATGGTGTCATAGCAGGTGTGCACAATGCATGATTATGTTTCTGATAAGACTTACTTAAACCCAGTGATCGTTTGTATTTGTTGTTGTAACTACGACTCTAGCCTTGCATCATGTTATTGTGACCGGAATATGAGCACGTTGACGATCAACAATATTGACTTTTGATACTCGAAACCCTTCTTTGGAACAACAAAATTCTTGTGTCTTCACATTCCCTTCCACGTCAAGCCGTGTTGTTCCCCGACGTGCACTAAACCCATGTTCCCGTGTGAATACCTTGTAAAAGTACCAAGCTTGATCACGTGAAGAGAAGAGCTGACCAACCAATCTGTCAAATTCATCAACATTATGTACTTCATGGCATTCCTCGGTTGGCTTAACATTGTTTGCATTAGTATGATCCATGGCAAAAACTTTGTTGTGCAAGTTCATTGGTCCCAACAGGAGTTGATGGAGATGTAAGTAAATGTTCATTGAACAACATGTTTCAGTCGTGCTTTCAATGGGATGTGGTATTGGTAGTGGTAGTTGAAGGGTGGGTATACAACATTAATTTCGCAGGACATATTTAGGTTTGTACAATAATTACAAAATTCAATAACTTTAAAGTAATAGGTAAATATACAAGGTAGGTGGTAAAATTTACAATAGACTTTTTTAATGACAATATTCGTAAACACAAAGATTTGTTTCCAACATTTTGTCCATTATGGTTCTCAAACATAAAGTTTCCAAAACAATGTCGATACATTTATAGTAAGTATCGATCATCAAAACATCGAAGCCAATTGTTATAAAGTAATAGGTAAAATATACCAGTTTAATGAGAGAATAGATAAACATATGTGTCGATACATTTTCTAAAAGTATCGACCCCAAAAACATCGAAACCAATAATTATAATGTAATAGGTAAATTAACAATGTAACCTGTATAATATACCGGTTAATTAGAAAACATGTCAACATAATGTATCGACACTTGTGGAATTTGTGTCGATACTTATTGTCTAGAATGAATACCCAAACGAGTGCACGCATAAAGTGTCGATACATTTATTAAAAGTATCAATCCCAATAACATCGAAACCGATAATTATAATGTAATAGGTAAATTTACAATGTAACCGGTATAAATATATCGGTTTTATGAGAGAATAGGTCAACATAATGTATCGACACTTTTTAAATTTGTGTCGATACATTTTGTCCAGAATGAATGCTAAACGAGGTGCACGCATAAAGTGTCGATACATTTATTAAAAGTATCGATCCCAAAAAATCGAAACCAATAATTACAACGTAATAGGTAAATTTACAATGTACCCGGTAGAAATATACTGGTTTTATGAGAAAATAGGTCTACATAATGTATCAACACTTTTTAAGTTTGTGTCGATACTTTTTTTCCAGAATGAATGCCCAATGAGGTGCACGCATAAAGTGTCGATACATTTAAAATTGTATCGATCCCAAAAACATCGAAACCGATAATTATAATGTAATAGGTAAATTTGCAATGTTACCGGTATAAATATACCGGTTTAGTTAGAAAATAGGTCAATATAAACGTTACCTATTACATTATATAAACGCTACCTAATATGTTATTGTACTTGATAATATTTTCGGTTAAATATCTATTTTATTACATAAGCGTTACCTATTACATTATATAAGCGCTACCTAATATGTTATTGTACTTGATAATATTTCCGGTTAAATGATATAACATAATCGGTCTAAATTTTAAACGATCACTTTTTTAACCAATCGCGCTTTTTTTAGCCATTTTTTAACAGTTTTTGAACCGCCGCACGACAGAACTTCCCTATCTCAAGAATACAATCCAAAACTCCATCAATGGCGCTTACATTATCCTATGAACACACAAGTTTGAAGCGTCCCTGTAAATACTCAACAATTTGGTCTTCTTCCTCAATCCATCTTCTCTATCTTATTTAAGTCTCATAAAGGAATTCCTGCGTCTATTCTGGATGGTTGTAACATGCAAGAATTCCTTTTTTCGATCCCCAAATTTAAGCCAGTTTACTCTAGATCTTTGGTGCCAGTATCTATCTCCACTCTCCCAAAATTTATCAAGTTCAATTTTTTAGAATTTTTTTATTTTTAAACTAAAATCAATTAAAACTTTAAAATTGATTAAAGATAATCAATTTAAACATTCAATCATGTTTCACATGTCGATTGTCGACCATCGTATAAACATTGTAAATTATCATGTTAGTACACTTAAAGTGCCACACTAACACCATAACCTTCATCATCGGTCAAAAAATGAAATTGACACGATTATATAAATTCGAAGATAAAATTAATATAATTAAAAAAATAAAAAAGCAAAATTATTGATTTAAATATATTATGGATGATGATATAAATTCGAAGATAAAATTAATATAATTTAAAAAATAAAAAATAAAATTATTGATTTAAATATATTATGGAGACAAAATGAACCACAAGTATAGAATATTCAGCCCGTCACTCTGATAAATACCCATAATATTTTGACGAAATAACAACAATATTAATGGTTGGGATAGATTTTAAACCATTTCTGTCATTTTTCAAATGGAGAAGTGATATATAACAGTTTTTTTTCCTTTTGTGTGTGTTTACAGACAGTGAATAATTTCATCGCAAATCCCCTTTTCTTTAACAAAGTAAATTTCCCTGCAGCATAATTCGGAGATATAATCTTTCAAAAATCATCCAAATACCTTAGAAAAAAGATGAACATAGTCGTGTCAAATATATTTCCGTGTCCGACACTCATACTTGTGTCCCGAGTGGATGGTAATGTTCCAAAAATGAAATTACGAGAAAGAAAGAAGAATCATCTCATAAGTTTTCTAGTTCTTTTTATGGCAGTATGCTAAATAATACATCAGAACCTCAAACAGATAAGAAGAATGGCAAAACAAAGTGGAAAGCACACATGAATGGCGGCTTGTAACTCAAATTCGTCAGACAGAAATTTCGAATCTTTAAAACATTAAAGTTATTGTCAAACCCCTTTTCTATTCTAGAGTATGGGGCAATAATTCAAGTGTTCAATCGATGTCATCGGTGTTGAGACTACATTTTCGAGACTAATTTTTCAAACTTCTTAATGCACAAGCAAACCGAGTTTATCAGCGGCTCTCTGCTTGTAGTCTTTCTCCAAGGCTGTTACTGCCAAAGACTGGAGCTCTGGACTCTCCTTGTCTTCCTTGTTCCTTCCTTTTGAAGCCTGTGCTATGGCTGAGGTGCACTGAATAAGAGGGGATTAAACTTCATGTTAGAGAGGTAAAATTCTCAGGACATAAGATGAGCACGATACTAATTTTAATATGATTCCGGTTATTATAAGGATAAAAAGCTGATGCATGCATCTAATTAATTGTACTGCACCTTAACTCTTAAACGAAAGATAAGGAGCTTACCAAGCAAATTCCGAAAAGTGCTCGGGTATTCTTACCCCCAGTCAAGTCTATAGTGGATGCATAATATTTCTTGGCAGTCTGAAGGTTTTCTAGTCCACCGAGTGTGTAAAGCACCTGTTAACGAAAGGTATAGTAAATGATCATCGAAAAACCATTCCGAGAACTAAAAGAATTCCAGCTAGAAGTCTTTATGTTAAAACCAATGTCCATTAACATCCATCAAGAAGCTACCCTCTTGGTTAGTCAGCAACCATTGCATTTTAGAATGATGTAACTACAGAAGTGGTTTCTTGTTTTACGGCCTTTTTATTTTTGCAGATGGAACTAGTTCTCAATTGGGTGGTTTAACTAACAAAGGGGAAAAACCGAAAGAAGGGCAACGAGATGTAGAATGTTAAGAGTAAAAAATCCACTGATGAAATTGCATCTTAGATTCGAAATATATTAAGCCACTCACATCAGCATAGGCCAAATGATATAATGGAACCGTAGGCTGAGACAAAATAAGCTCCTCGTAGCAGAATGCCGCTTGCTTGTACCTGATTTATCAACAAAAACCAAAAGGCTTAAGCTACCTGTTATGAATTCACAACATAATAGGAGATAAGATATTGTTCCATAAATTAACACTCACATTTGTAAGGAGACATATATCTCTGCTAGTTCTCTCCAAGCCTCATGATCCGCCATAAATCTAGCAAAAGAAAAATGGAAATAGAGAAACAATTGCTCTTCAGCAGATTATCGAATTAGGAAACATGACCAATAAAGGGCAGACAGAAAGATCTATGACTGTAAAGAGATTCTCACATTTCCAGATATTTATTAAGCAATTCAATAGCCTCTGAAATATTTCCTTGAGCTTTTGCCATGGCTATCCTCCTCTTATGTATTACCTGCATGAGAATATTTTTATTATTATTAATCCTTTTTTCACAACATTTCTTGATAAAAAAGAGCATCATTTAAGAATGGCTACAGGATTTACTTGATCAAGCGGATTGTCCTCTAAAAGACTGGAGGAAGCCTTTTCTGCCTCAGCCCACAATCCCTTTGCTTCAAGCAACATGCCATTTAGCCGACCTGTAGACCGCGACAAAACAAAACCACAAGGTCATAATTTGATAAGAGCAAAGGAAAACAGACATCATCAACACATCCTTCCCAGTCCAAAAGAATGAAACTAATTTATGAACAAATTAGTCCATCCCAATTCATATTTCATGCCGTAAAGCTATTGTGCAGGTAGAACATTGCACAAGGTGTTCAGAAGAAGCATAATTTAAGGAGCGTCAACTATCAAAGCGTAGGCCAGAAATGTATGATTCATGCATAAATCAACAGCAAGATATATATTCAGTTGTCTTATATGCTTACCAACCCTTTTGCCCTCTGGAAATTTCTTCTGCAAAACCTTTATGCAATCCTGCAGTATTAAATTGAAAGGATGCATGTCAGGCAACTTCATAAACCTACAATCAATCAGTAACTAGAGCAACGAAGCTATATCGCATTTCAGTTCAAGAAACAGTTCAACAAACAATGCAAGAAACCAACATATAAGAATAAGAATCAATGTCAACAAAGCCAGAACCAAAAGTATCGAACAAGAGTTACATCATATTGAACATGGAACAGGGTAAAACCAAATATTCTAACTAATGCCTCAACATAGCAGGAGAAAACGGAGTAAACAAGAACGCTTGATAACTAATAGCAAAGAGAAACCATAACAACATGACAGTGGTCAACCCCATGGACAATCACAAACTAAACAGGTAAAAGAAAAGAATAGTTTGTACATAAATGAAAGTTTCAGAATAAAAAGACCAAAATCCAAAAACCAACCCGAAACGGAAAATTTTCAAAGACAAGGACTGTACCTTTGCAACATCTAGACATTGGCAATCCATAGCGGCAATAGCTACCTGCTCATAAAGAGTCCATTCTGCATACAAAACCGCAAAGCTTCAAGCTTTAAATTCAGGCACATGAATAACAGAGCATCAATTTATAAAGCTTCAATTTGTGAAATTCAAACAAAACTCAAGTTATCAAATAATAAGGAGCAAGAGCTCTAAAACAAAAAACAAATCTAATTATACAAAAAAAAACTCAGAATTCAAATCAAACACTTCGGAATAATCGAATTCAAGCAAAACCCAATTTCAGAAATCAACCAAAGCTAGGAGAAACAAAGACAAAGATATGTTTTTTGGGGTCATTTAAGATCAATAAGCCATACTTGAAGACTTTCTCTGAACGCCTAACTTTAAGCTTCCTGACAAGGCAAAGATACTCCCAAGCACCTCCTCCTCCATTGTCTACCTGGTTTTCAAGCCTGTTCAATTGGGTCTCCTCTGTTATGTTCACCATCCTTCTTTCTTTCAAGCTATGTTTTTGGTTTCTCCCCTACTCTGACTAGTGGCCGGTGTTTTGGATCTCTACAATGGGTCAATTCATTGAGTTTCTGCATTTTTGGAGCACTATTCTTTTTGGGTAAAATACGCAAATGGTGTCACAATTATAAAATATTTTATTGAGATTATAGATTATTAAAAGTTAAAAAAAATCATTTAATTATAAGACACTATTAAAAGTAAAAAATCATTTAATTATAAGACGCTATTTTGTTGAATCCCCAAATATTAAAAGTTATAAAATGATTTATCGATTATTCATATGATGTATCGAATATAATTGATTACTATAATGCTTTTTTTAATGTAGCGAAAACAACAGTAGCTGAAACAAGCTAATTCAAAGCAGCTAAGGATTTTGTGAGATCCTCTTGGACTAGACCGACGATCTTATCATGGGGAACGTAGAAAGTGTGAATTCCGAAATGGAGAGATTAAGCAAATTTAGCCATTCCATCCGCAATCTTGTTACAATCACGAGGGATATAGCCAAACTCCGATCTCTTCTAGTAAGATCGATAATGTGCGGTACCATGGGCGACATTTCACTCGGTTCCTTACCCCAGCCAATAGCCGAAAGAGCCTCTCTACTATCCGATTCAATAATGACAGCGTTAAGCTTCAAGTCCCAAGCCAACTTCAATCCCTCATAGATACCCTAAAGTTCTGATTCAAACATCGAGCAAATGCCAATGGATTTGGAAAAGCCAACAATCCATTGACCAGAGGAGTCCCTAATCGCGCCTCCACACGTAGCTAATCCCAAAGTAGGTCTCCTTGCTCCATCCGTATTAAGTTTAAACCACCCCATCGAAGGAGGGGTTCAGTGCATTGATCGGCTTACAATGCTGACCAAAGGAGATTGGGTTAAGCTGCCATAGATGAAACCATGAAGCATGCACAGACTTTGTCGAAAAACGTTTCCACTTGCAACAAACTCAATATCAAAGACTACCTTATTTTGCCTAATCCAAAGGTTCCAAATTATTAAACCGAAGAGGATGTCCCAGTCCACAGTGTTTGGTAAATGGCCAGGTCTGCGCAGGTTACTATCAATCCAACTCACCAAATCAAGTTGAAAAAATTCAGCAGCATGATTAGGATTGATTACTGCATTCCAAGTCTCCTTAGCCATAATACAATCTCGAAGAATATGTAAGGATGACTCCACTGCAGCGCCACAGATCACGCAGCCTGCTTCCGAGGCCATATGCCTCCTAACTCGTTCTTCATTCGATAAAAGTCTACCCCGACAAATGATCCATAGCAAGATTTTGACCCTGGGAAGGCCTCTATAATGCGAGATTAAGCTCCACATATTAGAATTCAACTCCATGTTCACATTCGCTATTTTGTTGTAATGAAAATACGCCGATTATCCCATTTTCAACTAGGTACCAAAATTCAGGAGTGGTTTGACAGCGGCCAAACTGAGATGAACAGAACGAGGCAAAAAATCCCCCATGACATTCCACTTGCATTTCCCATTTGGCTCAACCAAAGAATTTACTTTTATAGCTTGGGGAACATTAAAGTTTCAATCTGTGCAGATGCCACGTAAAGAATTCACTGAAATTATTATTGATTGCATATTTTTTAAAGATAAACATGTAATATTTTAGATTAAGATCCGTCATACTATAACATTTTACTGTAACTAAAATCATTAGTTATTACAATTTTTTAAAGGTAAATTACGCTATTATCCACTGAATTATACTCTCTTTCCTATTTTACTAACTATACTTTCAATTTTCTAATTTACTCACTGAACTTTCAAGTTGCTCCTGTTAAGATCACTCTAAAATATTTTGTTATTATTTCTGTATGATATGACATTTTTTATTTAATATAAAATAATTAAAAATATAAAATAAAAATAGAAAGTGGTCGGACGCAAATGTCAAACACTGTCGACCGTCGTAGATAATCGTTCGGTCCCAAATTTTATGGGTCTTGTTTGTCTCGACACCCTAATTCTGAATCCACCCTCCATTTTACCGGAAATTCTCTGAAGTCCACGGATGAAGGTCGAAAGTGAGGAAGCCAAAACGTCTCAGTCAAGATTCATGGATTTTGAAACATTTTCTGGTGAAACAACCACCAAATTCGTACTCAAAGGGTCAAGACGAACAAGACCCATAAAATTTGGGACCAAACGACCACCATCTACGGCGACCGACGGTGGCATTAGACTACCTTCTATTTTTATTTTATATTTTCAATTATTTTATATTAAATAATAAAAATATGTTACATCATTCAAAAATAATAATAAAATAATTAAAAGTGATCAAAACAGGAGCAATTCGAAAACTCAGTGAGTAAATTAGAAAAACAGAAAGTACAATGAGTAAAATATGAGAAAGAATATAGTTCAGTGAGAAATGGTGTATTTTACTCATTTTTTCAAATTAATCAAAATAACATTTTAGGTTATGTTAAGTAGCCGCACATCACCGTTACACGAAAAAGATGTTATATATCTAGACCCATCACCCTTAATTTGTCTAACTGTTTCATATTTCTTGCTTAAAGAAATTATGCATTTGTTCTTGTCGAGACGTTTTTCTGTCCTGGCGACTGAGAGTGCAAATAGTACACCCCTAGACGGTGTAACTAGTCTCGAAAAAGTAAGTGTTTATCCTCCATAAATCAAATAAAACACTAAATTATAGAGTCACCACCAATCTTTAATATGGTGAGACTGGTAACCAAAATGTCATATTATTTTAATAAAAATTCCTAAGAATAATATTAAAATAATACATGGCGGGTATGCTTACCAGAAACATGAGTTCGAGAGTCAGTTACGTATGGAAAAGAATTAGCATTCCCACAACTCTCAGAATTGGTATCGATATTTATTAATTTAAGAGAAAATAATTTCAGTGATCGAAAATGCCTTATAATATACGATTTTAACCAACTTTTTTTGGATTTGCGAAAATAATCAACAAATTTGCAACGCGAACACCAGTTTCGCAACACAGTTTTCAAATTCGCAACGCGATTCTCCAAAATCACAACGCGAATTTCGTTTTCGCAACGCTAATTACCGATATAGGTAAACACAACTATTCGCAACTCAATTCACGAATTTCGTAACTAAATTACCGATATAGGTAAACTTGGTAGAAAAAATCCGGTAAAAATCCCGATTTTTTGAAAACTGAGTTGTGTTTAGGTATATCGGTAATTAAAGTTGCGAAAACGAAATTCGCATTGCGAATTTGAAAAATCGTGTTGAATTTGGAGAATCGCGTTGCGAATAGTTGTCTTTACCTATATCGGTGATTAGCGTTGCAAAAATGAAATTCGCGTTGCGATTTTGAAAACTGAGTTGCGTGTTTACCTATATCGGTAATTAGCGTTGTGATTTTGGATAATCGCGTTGCGAAACTGGAGTTTTGCGTTGCGAAACTGGAGTTTTGCGTTGCGAATTTGTTGGTTATTTTCGCAAATCCAAAAAAAGTTGGTTAAAATCGTATATTATAAGGCATTTTCGGTCACTGAAGTTATTTTCTCTTAATTTAAATGTCTTTGCAATAAATAATAGATTTGTTTATACTAATTTATAAAGGATCTAAATAAATTATTAATTAATGATATTGATAATTAAAATACTAAATATACATAAAATATAAATTAAGTTATAAAATATGTAAATTACTAATTATGATATAAAATATAAATACTAATAATATGATTAATATTATAATAATTAATGGTTTAAAATATAACACATTAATATTAATTAATATAATTCAAAATAATATTAAATTACTATACTAATACTGTAATTTATCCTAAATTGTTATATAGGTCGAAATGTAAATTATAAAATATATTAAGGGCTAAATATGGTATTTATCCTAAAATATGTATATATGCAGTAATGACCAAAACGTAAATAAATAAAATTAAAGGACAAAATTAAAATACATAAAACATGTTTTTAATGATTAAATTGCAAAGTTACAAAATTACAAGGTCCACAGAAACCATTTATCCATACCCGTATTTACGCTCAGGTCTCTCCCTGAAACGACACCGTTTGGGGAGGAGTATAAATAAGCCTTAATTAGGCCTAATGAGGTCTCATACCTCATTCTCCCATTCTGCTTCTCACTAATCACTCTCTCTTTTCCCCTAAACATGAATCTAACATCATTTTTCCATAAAACAACCTAAATCACAGTAGATCTAAGGAAATATACCTTCGAAGTTCGACTTCTCAAGCCGCACGTGGAGGCGCGTGAATGCTCTGGTGGTGGTAAGACTTCCTTCACTCTCTTCTCTCAATATTTAACTGGATTTTGTTGTATATTGGGCTGCTGCTTTTGCTTGGTTGCTTGCTCTTGGTTGTTTGCTCTTCGTAGGTTCGAACCTATTTATAGGGCTCTTCGATGCACCCCTTTATCCGGTTAAAAGACCATACCCCAGTTAGGGGTGGGAATAGGCCATGTCAAATCAGACTTTAAAAGGTCTGAACTTAACCTACGATGAATTTTTTAAATTTGAGCTTGGCCTATAGACTATCAAAAGCTTTTATTTTAGCTTGGCGGCCTTTTTAAAACCCTCGCCTGGTCTGATAAAAGCCTGTGTATTGCCGACTAGTGTATATTTTATTCAGTTTGTGTATTGCTTTTAACCAGCTGCAGCCACAGGTGAGAGGGGGAGACAGACAGCTCTGTAATCTATGTAAGTGTAATGAAGCTGGCAGATGAAGGAAGAAAGTGCACTCTTTTCTTAATATTATAATCAGCAAAATTTTCTCAAACTTGCAACGTTCAGTTGACAAAAGCACTCAGCCTCCCATGCACCGCAAGGCCCCATGCCATTTTTCCAGATTATTCAATTCCTTAATAAACTCTCTCTTGTATCCTCAATTCTTTTTATTTTGCTAGTAATTAATTATCAAGTTGCATGTTGATTCCATGATTATGGCCAGCATTTATCAAACTCATTTCTGGATTGCCGACTAGTTTCAAAAAAATATTAATTATAGGAATGGAAGTTATGGAGCAGTAGTGTGTAATCAAAGTCTGCTAGTTTCAAAAAAAATATTAATTATACCGTGTGTTCTCAATGCAATGACACATATATATTGGAACCCAAAAAAATATATATATATATATATATATATATATAGGCCGGCCTATCAGATTTATAAGGCTTTTTAAGCATGATTTATTTAATTTAATAGACTTTTAAAAAAGCCCGAGCCTAACCTTTTTATTAAATAGGTCAGTACAGGCCAGACTTTATGTAGGCCATGTCGTAGGCCCTTGTAGGCCAGCTTGGCCTATTCCCACCCCTAACCCCGGTGAGTCACCGAAACTACGGTGGCGACTCACCATAATGGTGGCGACTCACCCTAATGGTGGTGAGTTGTGCGGTGGAGAGACTGGGTGCATTAAATGCACCTAGATTGCTTCGATCGTGAGAGGATATGGCATCACCGTGGCATGCACTAGTTGGAGCATTCGTCGGCGGGGCATCATCATCCCTACGATGACGCCGGAATAGCCCTAGGGTTACAATGAGTACCATAGGGTTTGGCTGGTTGCACTGATGACCGTTGGATTAGCGTCTGGATCGGACGACTGTGGAGGCTTGCGGCACTGGAACCTTGCGATGAAACCCTAACAGCACTTGGGTTTGCTTCTAGCGTGGGTTTGCTTCTAGCGTGGGCTTACTGGGCTGTTTGGTTCAAGTTTGGGCCTGGACCGAGCCTGTTGGGGCTACTTGGGTTGAATCTGGTTGTATAATGGGTTTAAGGTTGTAATCAGACTTCACATTTGGGCCTGTAAGGTTGTAATAATTAATTATAATAATATAATATAATATAATTATAATAATATTTATTATATTTATAATAATAATATCTATAAATACAATAATAATATATATAAACGTCACTCGGACGAAAACCATTGTCGACAGTGCTGATACAGGATCGCGATACCGCTATTTTTCTGTTAACTGTCACATTACCTCAAGCATGGATTGCTCTAAAATATTGAACAGGAAAGTCCATAATAATAGAAACCAAGTCGACTTACTGCAGCTCCCACAAAATTTTAGAACCTCAGAAACAAAGTTACTGAATGCAGATTCTTGAACTACCAAACTACTCTATCTATTTTCTGGAAAGCATGTTTAATATCGGAGTAATTATCAAAGGAGATGATGCTGAAAAAACAAAAGTTGTACCGTCTGAACATGCAGATGATAGCTTTGAAGATGCAGATGATTGTACTCAATTAGATGAAATATATGGAAAAGATCTTCCACTAGAGAAAAACAATCCTGTTAAGGTCAGTTGTTTAGGTTTTGGTGCTAATGATCTGCTGCACAACTTATGTTACTCGGATTAGTATGTCGGTGTTGGATTCGAATATGTGAGCATGGCAGGCATGTTCAATGCTGTGAAGTTTTTACCATGTATTTGGAGGGTCTTTGGATAGTCATATACTCATACCCATATCCGGATTGTGTCGGATATGGAAACTTCGAGAAAAATGGAGAGTCGGAGCATATAGATGTATATTCACTTAGCATCAATCTTTTGATCCTAGATTCAAAGAATTTAAGATAGCGTTCAGGTCATAACTGCAGCAGATATCAGTGCTGGAAATTATACTACTGAGGACATCATCCTTCCTATGCCTGGGTAAGGGAATATCAAAGGAGTCTAGCAGATTATACATTGCTCGTACCATTTCCATAATGAACTGTTATTCGTTTCTTTCCTGACGATGTTACGATGTTTCCATGGCAGTTCTCGAATAATTTATCCAACAAACGAGGATGTCGATGTTTATCACGATATGGTAAAGAAGGTTTGCTATCTCTATATTAAATACATACAAGGATGGCATCAGCTTGATAGAGAGTCCATAATATCAAGTACATACTCGTAATTGAAACCATCTCTATATTTTCCCGAGCATCTTCTTCCCGTAGCCGTCTCCGTTTTCATCGTTTTCTTTACTTGCAGGGAACGGAACCTATAGGCGTGTTGTTCAGAAGCCGATAGACTTTCATTGGTACGGTCTGTGTTTCTTATCATTCAAGTGTTATTCTTTTAGGTGACCAGGCAACATTGCAGATTAACGTCGTCTATATATTGTTTCAGGGAATTGCTGCCATATACAGATGGAAATATAGCATCGTCAGAGACACATTTAGACAAAATTGCCAAAACTAAACCTGTGAATCTGACCAATGGACCGAAGGCGAAGAGCCATTCAATCATCCGGAATAATGAGAGGGCTTCAATGCGGTTGAGGCTTCTATTGACGCCGAGCTTCTGCAAGTTCATTCTCCACCTGGATCGAATTCTCAGGAACCACAGAAAGCTCTCAAATCGGCCTTCACACTTCCTGCTTCTTGCTATGCCACAATGGCCATACGAGAGCTTCTCAAGACATTGACTTTGGAATGCACTTTGCCTAAATGTTTCCTTCGTCCCTCAATTCCGAGCCATAGGATTCAGAATTTATTTCCAAACCCATCTCAAATCTTTCCTCAATGCAAAACATCGTCTTATTTTCTTCTCGGCTGCATTTGCAGGTTGCATTCCACAAGACCCTTAACTAATAAACATGTTACCGCTCGTATAGTGTATGAGAGTACGATCAACCTGCCATGTATAATAAATCGGGATCGAGAAAACAAGGTTTATTCCCATACTGGTTTACATACATGTCCCTGATTACTAGTTTTATATGAACACATGCAGTATCAGTCTAAGGAATATAAACAAATAATAATAATAGAAAGACGATAAGTTCGTGCTTAATTCATTTGAACCCCATCATCCATTTCGAAGAAAATTATGAAACTTGATGCACAAGTAGGAACTGTGAAGGTGCAGGGAGATCAACTAGAACCTAGAACTAACAATTGGCATTTGTTTGAAAACCCAAAATGCCTTGCTACTAAGTTGCTATCAACTTTAATCGTCGCCTAGAATCGGATAAGCTGAACTCTAAAAGATTGGTACAGGTTACACAGCTAGGGATATGATACAAACAACAGTGCTTCATTGGCATTAATCCTCAGTCTTGGTAGTGTTCTCTTTAAAGCTCTTAGTCAACCAAATGGCAGTTTCCCTAGGGGAGACCTTTCCAGGTCCAAAGGGCTTTAGTAGCACACCGAGCTCATCATACCTCTCTTGCTGCAACAACCTCGCACTAAATTCGAGCATTCCTTCTAATGCTTCTGCACGTTGCTGGAATGATGAGGGGTCAAACCTTCGTCTCCGTGTGTCTGATGAAGTGTGGCTAGATGCCCCAGCAGTTGCGTTTTGATCAGAGGAAACACTTGCATCGCCTCCATCTGCATGAAACATGCTGCGTTGAATTCCCTGCCATGCATCAGCCAAATTCGGCTTGCTAGACAAGTGATCACATATTTGAACTGTACATTTGTCTTTCATGATTGAACGGTCGACAAATTGTGGTGACCTAGAGAAGCCCTGTTCAGATTTTGGAGAAGTTTTGTTGAAGGGGAAGAATGCATCTTCATATGAGGCTAACGGGAATTCAGCTATCATATCAATTCGAGGAGCATTGACCGAAACATCTGGTGAATGTATGTGGTGAAGAATACCAGCATTAGATCTACAAGGAGATTCTTGAACCGAAGTTCTTGTCGGCAGCGGCAAGGAAGCTCGTCGAGTTGAGGGGAGAGGTTTTTTAACCGGATTGCGCGAAACATGAAACTGTAAACACAATGCAACTAAAGGTAAAAACCCAGATTTCGAAACAAGAAAAATGTTATAACTAACAATTTCTATAAATGTGTTTCGCGAGACGGGAACTCCATAGAATTTACCGAGTCACGGTTTCTCAAAGGCTCTGTCTTTCTCTTGGGAGTTGCAGAAGCTTTTGCCGAAGAACGTTTCGGAGCCTTGGTCACACTTGAAAGTTTTGAAGTAATCGGCTTGCAGATAACAGTTCCTTCTTGACTGCTATCAATAGACAAATCTTCTAACCTTCTGTTCAGAAAACCAGGAGCATTGTGATGTATTCCTTTGGTAGAGAAAACAGAATCTTGCTCAGCTCCAGATATGCTTGGATTTAAAGTCCTATCGTTACCGAAGGATCGACGCCTCTCCCTGAAAATGGAGGAGCGGGTATCTATGGGATCCGAAAATCTAGTTTTCTTTATATTGGTTTCAAGCCAAAGCACAGGTAAAGTATTACTTCTAGGATTATTAATTTTATGATGAACTTTAACAACATAAGACTGAAGGTGTGGATGCCTGAGTAGTTCCTCAGCCTGTCAAAATCGATAGATACTTCAGATGAGAAAGATCATAAAAAACATTCCTAAACCATTTACAAATTGGATTGCTATTATAAGACAGAATAGAGGAGAGCTAATACATACACTCGGCCTAAGTTCGGGATTTTTACGCAACATGCTTTTGACGAGGCCACGGCTGAAAAGAAAATCAATGCTATAATCAGAACTAAACAGTTCATCAGTTGAAAATCGACAAGTTCGTAAATGAGGCTTACAAGGCGCTGGAATATTTTGTAGGAAGTGGAGCAACTATAGATCTGTTGATCTTGTTTATCAGCGCTTGCATATCCTGCTCATGAGATTAAAGATTACGCGAAAGCTCGAAGCCGAAAACAAAACATGAAACGAGAATGATTTGCTAAACATTATACAGATTTTCCAAATGCAGAAATGCCTCTGAATGTCAAAGCATCAATTATTTCCAACAAAGTACACACATTAGAGGGATGCCACTGCATTTTCATATTCACCAACACAAATGAGTTACAGTTACGTCACTTACGAATTGAATATATCATCGGAATAGCACTAGAAATATTAACGAGATCTAAACAGACAGCAGCTCGGTACATTACAATCGATACGCTTGCTTACGAAACAGATTGTCTAATAAGATGTATATGCAACAAGCTGCAACCAGTTACAGAAGAAAAGGGTAAAGGAACTCACAAATGCTTTAAATGCAGGCTTGAGAGAAGTCATTTCATATATGCAGCACCCTGGAAAACGTATCTTCAAGTCATATAAACACATACAGAGAAATTATTGAAATCTTATCGAGACGGACTGATAAAAACAAGCATTTTCCGCTACGTGTGTGTGCCTACCTAATGACCAGATATCAGACTTAGAACCATAAGGTATGTCAGCCAGAAGCTCAGGGCACATATAACTTGGAGTTCCGACGACCTGAAAAAAAGCGTATAAAGTATTCTCCCTAATTACAATCAATAAAATCAATTGATGATGCATTGAATTCTTGAAGTTTAGTACGGTACTTACAGAAGATGCAAGATCATCTGAAGTCAAAATTTTAGCAAGTCCGAAATCGCCAAGACGTATGTCTTGCTCTTTTGTCAAAAATATGTTTGAACACTGAAAAGAAAAATGAAATAAGACATTGTTAATGAAAGCTACTTCAGGCACTTTAGAAGGAGATAACACCGTCAGCAAGAGCATAACAGCCATAACAGCATGTCGCTAACCTTGACGTCACGATGAAGAATGTGATTCAAGTGCAGATACTCGAGAGCCATCAGGAGCTGAACAAGCCACTTGCACAGTTTCTGAACATGCTCGGAAGATCGGAGTTATGGTTCTTTGATGAACAGAGTTCAAAACAAGGGGATGGGAATGGAGTAAAAAAAGAACTGAAGTTAAAAGCATGGGAATGAACAAACCGCTTCGGTGAAAAGCATGCCGTTCGCTTTCTTTATGGCTTCAGCCCTGTTTTATACGGAAAATCTTATTATGATTCGCCAAATTCGTGCGAGGTTCTTCAAGTTACATATATAAATGCACTATCTCACAGATATCAGTATCAGCAGAGAAATGAAACTTACATGTCTCCGCCTTCACAATAACCTATAATGATGCATACATAGCAACCCTGGTAACAAGGACATATGTGAACCCATGTTAAGCTGTTGATCACCGGGAATGTTTCAATAAGAATGCATGACAACTATGACATAATGGCGATGTATCCGGAAATAGTGTAAAATGGACGAGAATTGAGGCCTATCAAGCACATTAGCTATTAAAGGGAAATAGGAAGCATACCTTTTCCACCCAGGAATCTTTGTATTCCACAATAAATGGATTTCGGAATTTAGAAATGAGCTCCATCTACACGAACAACTTGAACGGTTAGTCCATAGATCGAATTAAACCAAGTTCATAACAATAAAACTAACTGGTCCAAGTTATGTCCAGCCAAACTTCAACATTGTTCCATGTCAAAAAAAAGCTAACATGTTAATTGAATATAAAGCAATCGGAATCAGTCTCTTCTTTTCTAGCAAATGTTTGACTTGATGAAATACAAAAGGAATAGCAAAGATGTATGAAAAAACCATATGGACCTCCTGATGAGCAGATCTTCGTGACCTATCAGTCTGGCGGGTGAGACGTATCTTTTTCAGCACATACCTTATTAGCATTCCCAAAGATGAAAGTGTAAATCAATTGCCAAAAGATGACTTAAAAATAACCATGTCTAGTTGTTCTTCTACTCAGATTTCACATGTAACAAAGTTAAATATAAATAGAGGACGGACTTGGCCAGTATAAGTCCGCCCTAGCAGTCTTACTTCTTCTTTTCATGCTTATGCCTCACTAGAAGAGCTGAACCGAAAGCTCCCTTCCCAATTTGCTCTAATACTTCATATTGCTCCATGTTAAAGAAAAAGTACTTGACTTCGTTTACTGTATTGCACGAAAGAAAATCGAGTCAGGGCATTTGATGTTCATGAATCCTTCACAAAAGCTAGAGATGCAGTGGAATATACAGTAATTTCCAGCAAAAGGAATATGTACTATTTGTCCAGATGTTAAGATTAAGAACAAAGAGTTTCAGTAGGTTATAAGAAAAGAAAAACATCATTGAAAGAATCAAACTTCACTGTACTACAATTCATGATTGAACAAAAATGGAAATCAAAATTGAGCACATGATACACACTGAAAAGCTTGAGTTGCCCTTTGCATACAGGTCTAAAGAGGGCTAATCTAAACAATGGTTCCAAAATTCTTCAAACAACAATGTTAAAAAGCTTCAAATACATCAATTTCATGTCAGAATGTAGCAAAAAAAGATTTCTTTTGTATACTATCAAGCTAAATTGTTAAGTTTAGCCCAAACCCTGAATTTATAACTCAGCATAGAAGCCATTTTTCACTTGTATTAAGCTTAATTGACAGTGAAAAAAGTAGAAAAGAAAGTATCTGAGTGAAGCAGATGTGATAATTTAAGTACCACAAAAGCTTCACATAGAATAGGAATGAAGAAAATAAAAACAATAACAAATACAGAGAAAATGCACATTAAGAGTAATCTTCCTCTAAAAAGCACCCAGAAAAAAATTTAAATCAATAGCAATTCATCATCAAGAAAGCAAAGAGCTTTGAAAAGAAAAAAAATGCAGCCTTTTATGAAGAAATGAAAAAGGAAACCCCCCCCCCAAATGAACAGTAAAGGGAGAAGAAGAAAATGAAATCTACAGATTCAGAGACAAAAGAGGGCTGTTTCATGTACCTGAGTGTAACAGTGATAAAGGGTATATAAGATATTGATCCAAAGAGATCACAGAGAGAAGAACAATGTGGACTTAGACATTTGAGCTGAGGCTGAACAAAGACTGTTTAAGGTACAAAGAAAGAGGAGCACGAGAAGAACAAGAACAAGGAGAAGAAAGAAAAAGCAAATGAAGCTGCTGCCAGTTGCAGGTGTGTTGCCATTGGATTGTTTTTAGTTTCAAGGAAGAAAATGACAAACTTTGTAAGAGAGAGAGAGAGCTCAAAATAGATTGGACCACAATATAATGAATAATTTATCAAGAATCTGAAATTTTTTTATGAGAAAAAAAAATGAAAAGAAGTGGTGTACTGGTGTTGGATACTAGGACTAGTTTAAGAGAGATTTCAGTTCCTGGTGGACAAAGCTTTAGATAAGCACTATATATAAATTAGCTACACAAACCAACAAAAGTGGAAACAAAGTTTATGATTAAGACTGTTTTGGCAACGGTTCTAATTTAATTTATTGATTGATTAATTTGAATTATATTGTAGATGTTTATTATAAGGTTAACTCTTTTACTCTAATTTTTTCTATTCATAATATTGACATTCAAACCTCTAATTTATTTGAATAATCTAATGACTTATTTCATTAGACCAATTAATTGTTAATAATATAAAAGAAGTTATACATCCAAATCACTGCACACCAATTTCTTTTATAATTGATAAAATGCATACTCAAACTTTCAAATATTGATTTATTTGAATTTTTTCCTCTATCTTTTATTATTAATTAAACTTTATCCTCATGATATCCTAACTCCGTCTCTAATTATTTAGTAACTTTTTTAGAGTGAAGAAACATTTAAATTATATATTTGAACGAGTTTGAATTTATATTTTTATATTATAATAACAGATAAAGTAATCAATTCTAAAAATTATTTGAATCTATAATATTTAAATCGATGAAATTTAATCAGTAAATATATACATTAAATAAATTAAAGTGAATGGTGAGGGAAAGTAAAAAAAGGATGGGTCAAGTTTGCCCCACTGATATCCAACTTAAGTTCTCTCACATATGTGTGTGTCCATAGATACTTATTGGCTATTTATGGCATTATAGAAACAATAAAACGTGTACCCATAAAGATTGTTTCTTTCATAAAAGCTTGTAATAATTTCATTATATTTTAATTGGATAAAATTTAAATTGCGTTGTAGAGGTGAGTTTACTTGCAGTTCTTGGTGTGTTTGGTAAATTTCATTATTATGTCATTCAACTAATCGGAATTAACGAATTAATAAAATAGTGATTAAAATAAGGTATATCATTAATGTAAGTAGTCAAATCATATTTTTTGCAAATTGATGATTAAAATAGAGTTAATTACATCATATGTCCCCAAATTATAACATTCATTTAAAATTGGTTCTTAAACTTTTAAACAATCTAAGTTCATCCCTAAACTATGATTCTCTTTCTAAATTAGTCACCAAACCTTTAAATACTCGAATTTCATCTCCAAATTCATCTAAATATGTAATTAGTTTCAACCACAACTTAACCTAAAATTTTGTTTTTTCAAATATATAATCATATAACTTGGCCTAATGATTTTATTAACAATGGATGTGCAAAAAGTTTCAAGACCAATTTAGAATGAAGGTCATAGTTTGGGGATAAAATTGAAATGTTCAAAAATTTGAGGACTAATTTAGAATGAGTCATAGTTTAGGGATGAAATTGGAACATGTAAAAGCTTAAGGACCAATTTAAAATGAGGGTCATACATTAAGACACTAAAAAGAAGAAGTTGAAGTCACTTGGTTAAAAAAAACATTTTGAAAAGTGAGCTTTGAGTGTGCATCTTAAATGTGAATTGGAACATCTTAAATTGTAGAGGGGAAAAAGGGTGAACCGACCAACTTATTTAATGGGCAAGTTCTGTATTTTACGCCTGAAGTGTGATAAAGAGCTTTGCTTTTACGTGAGAAGAGTTGGTGAGTGAGTGACTGAGTGAGGGTAATTCTCAACTACTTCGAAAAAAAATACATCAAGTTATGAGTTTTGTTAATTCTTTAATAATATGATACTAAATTAAAACTTAAACAGAACGTTATGAATGATTTTAAAAGAAAATAAAATTTGAATATCAAAACGAAATAAAAATAATAGTTTAAGTACTAAATATATAGTTTATCCTAAAGTAAATGTTTCCCCTCGAAAACATCCGATAAATTAGAAAGAGATTATTAATTAATGTTGTGAGAGTTTTGTATTCTAAGTTTGTTCTTAATTAATTAATGTTGTTTAATCTTGTGTGGTTGTATGAAATTAATTGAAGGTATTCATGTATCAAATGAATTTTTGGAAGTTGATTTTGTATCAAATCTTTTCGACGATTAATGTAATATTCTATATTTGAATTTGATCGTCTCGATCGGAGTTACACACTATTTTGATTTTAAATATAGAAATTTAAGTAGTATTGATACTATAAGAATAATATCGCTATTATTCATAAAATATTTATACTCATAATTAAATAATGATAAATTATAAATTATGAAAATTAGGTCAATTTGAACTTGAATTGGCTTAAAAAGTTTTATGTTTAAATACTTCTTAATTCAATTTCATTTTATCAATAAATTAGAATGAACAACAATTTAAAAATTAATTATTATCGAAACATATTTTACTCCTGTCTTAAATGTTAGAATATGACCTAATTCATACTCTGCCAATTCTAATTAAACTGTTTTAAACTTATTTTTTAGACCTATTAATTTCATTCAAATTTTTTTCAAATTTTAAGTGGAACTATAATTTGAGGAAATAAATCCATCCTTTGATATGTAGAATGACAATGTAAATTATGTATGGAGAAAATAAGTTGTAAATTGTGATCGTATGTGTAGAGTTAGATTAAATTTGTTAATATCTTATAATCTTTTTCTATTTATAATGATCCCAATGTATATTCATTATAACTGTTTATGATTGTATTCTTAAAAAGATTTATGTCTGAATTCATAAAATGATTTCAATGATAAAAGGGAATATTATTATTTCTAGAGATCCTAATTTCGAGCAGTTACGTCTACAGGGTGTATATTATCAATTGATTAAATATTTTTTAAACAAATTCTACCTTGTAATCACTCTAGACTATTAAAAAAAAGTAAACAATGAAATGGGCCTAATTGCAATAGAACAATGAAATGGGGAAGCTTAATATAGGGTATCAAACAATAAAAGGGTGCCCAAAGACCCACAATCATATCTTACAAAGGACAGGTATCCCTCGTCCCATTACCCTTTTATTGGGCAAATAAGGTAGGTCCTTGGGTCAATCCAAATCCTTTGGTTCTATAATCTCAAACCTTAATACGTACGTCCAGAGAAAAAAATTATAATTATATGATTATAATTAATACATCTGTATCTTTATAAGTATGAACCGAGTTAGATTTAAATATCAAGAGAACTAAATTATCTAAATTTAAATTAATAATGAATTAAAAAATTATTAAATTAATTTTTTTAAAGGGACAAGAACCCTATTAATATATATATATATCAATTGATTGTCGATCGTCGGTATTTCTTGTTTTTCATTTATTTTTCATATACCACACTTTTGTTTTTCCTTTAATATTTAGTTTCTAATAACTCTATTTTCATGACACAGGTTTCTCAATATTTATGACACATTTTTTAGCCTTGTGACACACTTTATCGTTTATTTAATTTTCTCGTTTAATTTTCTAAATGTTAAATTTTACGCCGTCTCAGTATATTATTAATTTCACCTGCTTTAAACTCTCAAACTAAGGGTCCACGCGTGAGATTTTCACGTGATGAAAATCAAACCTAAATATTGGAGACTTGGAGTTTAGTGGCAATTGGCAAAGGCAGTGGTTAACAGGGTCTTGGCCCCGTTAAAGTGGTATAATTTCCATTTAATCCTTTAAAAACGTAAAATTATAATTCAGTCCAATCATAAATTTGTATTATAATCTAAAAAAATCAATTCTATCACACACTTAAATTTCAGGTCAAATTCTTTAAAATAACCATAAAATATTGTACGAAATAAATTAATTTGTCCATATCACAATAAGATTGTAATTTTCTCGTCTCTTTTTAAGAAGCACATACCTTACGTACATACAACAAAACAAAATGTGGTGTTCACGTCAATACAATTTAAATACATACTTCCGATAAGAAAGAAAGAGACAAGAAAATTGTTCTTTCATCCCTTTTTCGTAATCTCAATTTTGGTCCCCCTTCTTCCATACTTATGGTTTGGGGGACAAAATTCGAGAATATATTGTACAATGGTAGCTACCTTTCATGAAGCAAAAATCCATCCATATTTTTAAATAAAAATATTATATCCTTTTATATAAAACAAGTTGAAAATGAATAAAAATAAATCTATTAAATCAAGTTTTATTATTCGTCTTGGTACTATACATGAGTTGTATATTAAGTAACTATTTCCTAATTTGATCAATTTTATCCTTTTAATTTTGTCAGTTAGGAATCTATTAAAAGGCTGGACGGGTGCCCCTCAAATTTTTTTATTATAATGGCATTTTAGATCTTTTTAATTTAAATATTAGTTAAATAAGATTTTTTTCTCGTTCGATTTTTAAATTTAAATATAAAAAGTTTGAGGAGTGACAACCTAATTTAAGACTAAAAAAACGACTTTGGGCATAATCGAAAATATTACATTTTTTGTAACATTTTAGGTTCAACCGAAATTACTAGTAAAAATGTAATATTACTCAACCTAAAATGTTATATATTTTTATCACATTTACATTTGCGCCTCAAAATCATTGTATTTTAGTCTTATATTAAGATGCCACACAATAGAACTACCCACTTAAATAATCAATAGAGTATTTCTCTTTCAATATAAATCAAGTTAGTCCCCGTCAATGTTTGACCCTCGCTCCATCCTGAATTTAGTCAAATTGTCCTTTACTATCTTAGGTAATAATTGAAAATTTAAAATTCTAAAAGTATTGAAAATAAAAATCTATAATTTACGCACAATATTAAGTTGCCGTCAATGTAAAATTCTTGTTCCATCAAATGTTGAGCTGTTCGTTTAGAAGATGGTATCCCAAAGGATGCCGGTTCTAATGGAACTTGCTAAGCGGGGCGTGGTAGATTCTAATGCTTGTTTGTGTGTGTTCTGTAGGAAGGATATGGAGTCGATTAACCATCTCTTT